TGCATCGATACACTTATGTGAGTAGTTGCACCAGAATCTATCCACCAAGTGTAACTAGGTACCGAAGTTAAATTAACTTCAGAATAAACAAAAGCGAGAAATGTACCTTTCTTTGCACGCCATGCGTGATATCCGGTACAATCTTTCTTTATATGTCCACTCTTCTTACAGAAAAAGCAAGTAGAAGCCTTATCTTGTTGCTTCTGTAACTTCTTTTGAGGTGAACTAGCAGATTCCTTTGCTTTAGGTCTTTTCTTTCCATTATCCTTAAGCAAAGACGAAGTGGGCACTTTCAGTATTTTCATTCTTCAATCTATCCTCTTCTTGCACACAATGAGAAATGAGCTCATTAAGAGTCCATTTATCCTTTTGGCAGTTGTAACTGACCTTGAATTGACTGTATTGTGTGGGAAGGGATATTAAAACCAAGTGCATGAGTAAGTCATCAGACAACTCTAACTTATGTGCCTTTAGTTTTGAAGCGAGATCAGACATCTCTATAATGTACTCACGGACATTTCCACTGCCTTTGTATCTCATGGAGATAAGTTTTGCCAAGAGAGTACTTGTTTCAGCCTTCTCATTCTTGGCAAAACGCTCCTCTATGACATCAAGAAATGTCTTGGCATTTGCCCCTTCAGATATCGAGCCCCTGAAAATTTCAGGAATTGCACGCTTCATGATCATGAGACAATGCGATTTGAATGATCCCACCGCTCAAAGTTCTTTTTATCATCATCAGAACTTGCATCCGTTAGAGCGGAGGGTTCAGTCACCCGAAATGCAAGGTCAAGATCCATGCAACCGAAAACAATCAGAACGTTCTTTTTCCAGGTCTTAAAATTTGTCCCTGACAGCATTGGGATAGAGTTCACCGAAGTTGTGATAGATGTTACTGACGAAAAAGTTGAGTGCATAAAAAAACAAAAGAAATTAACGAACAATAGTTATTCGATAAAAAATTTGAAGAATAAATAATGTAGCCCCAATATATATAAATACATGAGATATTTAGTACAACATTGACAATCTATCTTTGGATAAAATCATCAACTTGTGTGTAATATCTCGACATACTTAAATAAATATGATCATAAAAAATGTCAGATAATAAGTCTTCCTTTGGGTCGACTTAAAATTCTATGAATATCCTAATGATTTTATCATATTTATTTTCATGACAATGTATAAATTCTGCCAAATAATTATCTACCTTTGGGTTGATAATTATTCGTATGAATTTTCTAAATCCATATCGTCTGAATATTATTAAACAAAACATGGATTAACTATTTTCATAAAATATCACTTTGGTGAGTTTCTATGTCAAATAAATCCTGCAAATAATATCAAACCTTATAAACCATCACGTCATTCTTCCCTGACTTATCAAATACTATTTTTATTAAAAAAAATATATCCGAAGCGCAGAAAACATATCCGAAAAAAAACTCTCGGTATGTTCTTTTTTTTTTAAATTAAAACAATAAAATATGGGCCTACTCTAATTGTAAAGCCCATAACAAAATAATAAAAAAAACGTTCTCTTTCCTCATGCAAAAACCGCCAACAACTTTAGGTAATTATTATGTTTCCTTATTTCAAGGATTTTAATAAATTCAAATCATGACTTTAATATACATAATATTGCAATAATATTTGTTATTAAACCAAATCTGACGGTTTTGTAAAACTTACCTTAATTTTCTCTCTTCTGATTTGCAATCAAGACATATATAATTTTTTTTAAGCATCGATTCAAAGGAATTACCAAATCTTAATCCACATATGATTAAAAAATAATAATGATATACCAGATATCGCATAACACTTATCATCACAGAAGGGAGAAACATGAACTTGACGGTGACGCAGGAAATACGAAACATATATTATTCAAACATGTCGTAAGGAATAAAACTCCTTTTGTTATTCAATCTTCTTCTTTTTTTTTTCATGTCACAGATTATTATTTACTAACAAATAAAAAATCTGCAAATAATTCACTGATAACCATCATTCTTACGAACATACATATTAGGCTCTGATACCAATTGTTATTTCTTGATCGATTTAATAATACTGTATTTTGGATGTGCAGAAATAAACCCTGAATCTAACATGTAGAATCGTAAGAATGAAATAGTATCGAATCATACGTGAATCCATTTTCGTAATGGAATCCGTAGTGTCTGACTAACGATCGGGAATTGTGATCTTCTAGATCAACATACGAACAGAAAATAATTCTCACAATATGGGACCGTAAGAATTCTGAAAAACTGTGTGTGACCCCTAGAGACCATAACCCTTAATTTATAGAAAATTAATTTATAATTATTTTCAATTCCGCCCACAAAAGAAATAGAAATAACACAATGGTATCTGCACTTAATCCTACATTTTACCGAAATAATATTTAGGTCTTTTATTTCTTAATTAGATCACAAATATGACCTAAATAAAATAGCACATAATACATATCTTAATTGATTAGAGTGTTGGTCCATATGATTATTGAAATAATCCCAACATTTGTTGTGTAAGAGCTATGTTTTATTGCGTTGAAAACTTATATTTTGTGGTATGATGAAGGTATCTTATTTTGTTGTGTTGGGAACCTGAAATATGTCTAATTGGTTGGGTTAAACCTATGTAATTGCGGATTGATGTTTTATGTGTTATGAAATGGTTGTGTTTTTGATTCTTTGTGTCATCTTATTTTTCTATATTCACAAACGTTTCATATTTAACATCATAATATAACAACAAAACATGACTTCGAACCCGACTTAATACACAAACAACAATCCCTGATAACACACAAACAACATCATTATTATTGTCACTGCAATAATCACCTTGAATCCATTTGTTTTGCACTTCACATTCCCCTTCTGCAATTCAACATTAATCATCCGCAACTCGACTTTGAATATTTCAAATCCCAACTTCACTTCTGACTTCAATTTTTGTAACTCGTTTTGAATCTCTTTGATGTCTTCAATTAGAGCATCATCAAGCCATTTGAAATAATGTTGAAATTTTTTCTACCATAAAACATATCTTACGCGATTATGAATGACTTACGATCACAAATATATATATTGTCGAAACAAACACGAATCTCTTGAGATGGACAATTAAAAAAAATTCTTCCAAGATTCTTTTGTCTTCGATGTCTTTCGTGAAATTGGTCTTCCGCAATCACATTGAGTTCGTATACATTTAGGTACACTTGACTCACTCTTTGACAAAGAAGAACGTTCATCGCAGATGTAACCCATCTCTATAAATTAACAAAAAAAAAAAACACTCCTGAATAATGAATATATTACTTGAAATTGGAACAAAAAACACCTAATTTTCCGTAAATGGTAAAAAACCCCAAATTGTATAAGGGAAAGTAAAGAAACCTGTAAAAATTAGATAGAGAAAACGTAAGATCAGTAAAAGATAGAGAAAAAAAGAGATGAAACACCCAAATGTTTACCTGTCAAAAGAGAAAACTTGAGTATCAAACGAATAGAGAGAAATAGATGAATGAAAAAAATCTTGAGAGAGAAAAGTGATGAGATGCAGAGTGATGAGAGAGATAAAAGACAATATCTAGGGTTGGATTTTTTAATGTTTTTTTTCGGTTTTCCAAAACCGGATTTTTGATTTATTAAAATCGGGTCTACGTGGCAGCCACATGGTATATTACGTGGCATTTTAACGTTGCCACCTTATACTTCTATCTGAATTTTAACGGCATTCGGAGGTGGTTGAATTTACTAATATTTAAAAAGTATATATATTTTTTTTGTTAAAATGTAAATATACAGAGTTTTTTATAATAAAAAAATATATTTTTTTTGTCGACATTTGGAAAGTATAGGATTTTTTTTGACGATTTTAATATTTTTATTTATTTATTTATTTTGATACTACCAATCAACCTAATTTTTCGGAACTACTTATACTTATGAGTAAGTTGGTGCAATAAAATTGTAGCAAAGCAATGTTAAAATGTATATTTTTCAACTTTCAACGTATCATATAGAGCGTGTATATATATATATGTATAATGATAGGAAATTAAATAAAAAATCTCAAACGTGATAAAATATGTATATATTAATATTACTATTATAAAATCAATTTAAAAGATAAAAATTGGACAAAAAATTCTACAAAAATAGTGTTTATTACTGTTCGATATTGATTTAAAATATCAAAATTGGACGAAAATATTACAAAATTATTTAATAAAAATTGAATAATACAGTATAGAAATAAATAATATTTCTAGAAAGATATTCAAATTAAAGAAAATTCGGTATAGAAGGAAATCGTGTCGTTTTTTAGATTAAGAATCCTTTTGTTAAAAAAAATATATAGACCAAGATAGAGGGTCCCACATCTTCTTACGGATAAGCCTTACCATTTTGCTAAAATAAAAAATAAAAACAAAAGCGATGACAAACTGACCTACTTATCATGGCCACGTCACCCAATAAAAAATAAGAAAAAGAACATGTTATTACATCGTGACCCCAAAAGTTTTTCGAATCTGCCTAATACACCTCTAACTCTTAAAATAAATATTTCCAAAATCTTTTGTTTGAATATAGAATTAAGTTTTTTGTGATTATTTGTTTGTTATTTGATAATTAAACTGAATATAATTAAATAATTAAACAATATAACCTTTAGATTATGGTTGATTTCAACTTCACAGGGTTTAGAATGTTAAATAAAAAGGTTGGGATCGAATAGCAAAATTGGAAAGAGTTTTTTTAATAATTATATATATCTGCATGCAAAGTGTGCGTGGAATGGATATGGATAAGGGCTAAACCGACTATCTGTCTGTCCGCCGCTTCCTCGAGCCCGATCTCCCTTTTTAATTTAAAAAACCATTAATAAATATTATATATTATAAAGATAACAAATAATATCAGTTTTTTTCCATATTTATTTTATTATTTCTGTGTTCTAAGAAACCGCTTCAGCACACTGTTAACGCACTATATAAAGATCCCATCTTTTCTTCCCTCTCTCCCTCTGTAATTTTTGGGTCTCAGAAGAAGGATTTTTTTTTAATATTTTGGTTGGGAGGAATGTCGATTGTGATGGACAGAGTCGAGCAGTACGGATTCGATCTCAGCGTCGGGAGTATCTTTCCGGCGGATCCGCCGGCTAAGATCGGCGGTGCAGCCATCTCCGGCGGAGTGGATCGTTGGTTGTCTCCGTTTGGTTCGTGGGCTTCTTCTTCACCTTCGTCTTCGTTGTCATCATCGATTGGGAGGGACAGTGACGAGGAAGATGGCGGGAAACCGTCGCCGGAGGGAGGATATGCCGGCGAGAATGAGGCGGAGAGTGAGTACAGAGGTCCTTTGGACACGATGGATTGTCTGGAAGAAGTTTTGCCCATCAGGTTTGTGGTTTCTGAAACTTGTAAAGGGTTTTTCTTTTTCTGCAGATTCTGTTTGTTTCTCGAGAAAATATGATCACTTGCACATGTGTGTGTATGCATATGTGGTTGGGTTTGGCTGACATGGTGTTAATCAAACAGGAGAGGGATATCGAAATTCTTCAACGGGAAATCAAAGTCCTTCACAAGCTTAGCAGAAACATCATCGTCGATAAAAGACATAAGGAAGCCGGAGAATCCGTACAGTCGGCGGCGGAGGAACCTTCTCAGCCACCACTTGTGGAACCACAAGAACCACCGAGGGATTTCGAAGAAACCCATCACGAATACGAGCAAGAGCTCCATGGGCCTGGCCCTGGCGGCGGCGGCGGAGGAGAAGATGCCGAACTCCGGCGAGGACTCGTCGTCGGGATCTATGTTGCCGCCGTTGCGCCCGTGGAGCAAAGGGTCTTTCGGTAACTTTTCGCCGCCGGAGACGAAGGGAAGTGGAGGTGGGTTATGTACGTGGAGGTCGTACTCGGTGGCTGATTTGCCGAGAAGTTTACCGGCGACGGTGGCGAGCGGTGGCTCCGGTGAATCTTAGGAAGAAAACCATGTTGTCATTGTCTGACAATGACATTACTGACGTGGAAGATCGAAGTGTTTTCCCCCATGTCCGGTTTTGTTGGCTTCTCCGGGGAGATTGGAAGAAAACGAATGGATGATGTCAGATCCATTGTTTTTTTCTTCATTGAAAATCTCTAACCTTTTATCTTTCATCTCAGTGGACTCTTGATTGTTTTTTTTCAAGAGTTTTGGTTAGGGTTACACATTTCCGTCTGTGTTCTGGTTCAATTGGATTTTTATTTGGGTTTGATTTTTTCGTTTTTACAAAATTTATATCTACAGATTTTGTAAATTTTATGTTAGATTTAGTTGGGTTGTAGTTGGGTTTGATTTCGAATAATAAAAATGTTTATTTTTAAAAAATTTGCTGATATTTTTGTTCTATTTGAATTTAAAAATATTATTTATGTTTTCTTTTTTATTATACCAAATCAAATGTCGACATGTAGGTTTTGAATGGAGATTTTGAATGGAGATAGTTTTTTATTTTGGGTTTTTGGTTTTAGTTTTTGGATTTTGGTTTTTAGTTTTTGGTTTTTGACTTTTAAATTTTATAATATTTGAAAACTCAAAAAAAGTAGCTTTTGGTTTTTTATTGATTTTTTCAGTAAAATGACTTTCCAAGTTTTTAGTAAAAACTTGAATGTTGTTTTTTTTTTTGATTCTAAAAACTCCTACCATTCAAGGCCGTAGTGTTGGTATTATTTAACTATCTATTTCGGGGTTTGAGAATTTTATAATTTTGATTCAAGTGTCTATATTTTTTACAAAATTCCCAACTCTTTAATTCCGAAAAAAAATATCAATATTGGACAGAGTTTACTGAAAGGATTATGTCAGATTGCAAAATGTCCAAAGAAAAAAATGCAATTTCATGGAAACTTTAGCATGTGAAGCTTAAAATAGGAGATATCACCATAAAAATTCTGTATTTTCCCAGGTCAACGAAAAAACCCTATACTTTTTTGCTTACCAATTAAACCCTATACTTGGTATGATTAACCACTAAAACCCCAAACTTGTTAATAATTCACCGAAAACCTCTCGCGTCTGCCAATTCAAATAAAAATGATGACGTGGCATTGACTTGACTTTCAAGTTATGTACACATCATCAAAATTATGACACATCATCATTTCAAACAAAAATAAATTACATAATTTATTTAAATTAATTTATATACATATAAATTCATATATATATATATATTAAATATATATATATTAAATATAAAATTACTTATAACTAATAAAACACACACATATATATATATATTATAAATTACATTATAAATAATATATATATACATATTATTTTTTTAATATATATTGTATATATATTAGTTATAATTACTTTTATTTTAATATGCATATTAGTTATATATATATATATATGTTACATGTATAACTAATATATATACATATACATATTATTTTTAATAGATACATTATATGTGTATGTGTTAGTTATAATTATTTTTATTGTAATATGTATATGTATTAGTTATAATATACATATATTTTATCAAAAAATGTCATAATTTTGATGATGTGTACATAACTTGGAAGTCAAGTTATTGCCACATCATCATTTTTATTTGAGTTGGCAGACGCGAGGGATTTTCGGTGAATTATTAACAAGTTTGGGGTTTTATTGGTTAATCATACCAAGTATAGGATTTAATTGGTAAGCAAAAAAGTATAGGGTTTTTTCGTTGACCTGAAAAGAGTAAAGGGTTTTTATGGCGATTTTTCCCTTAAAATATACTGATAAGCCCATGAGAGTCTATACTAGGAAGAGGAGGCCCAAAGGGATATTGGCGGCCCAAGATCTGAGGGTGAGGGACAGCGTCAGAAGATTCTACTGGAGGGGAAGCAACGACACAAGGAATAATCACCTAGGCCAAAACCGTTATCGACACACTCTGTACGTGGTCAGCAGGATGTTGGAGAAGGACACCTCAGCAGTTTGTTAGCAGAGGAGCAGCTATATTATGTTCGTATTTTTTTTGTAGAAATTATCTTTGAACTTTGATAATATTCTGGAAAAAGAGGTATGCCTCTTGGGATGATTGTATTTCCTCTTTGATGGAATACAGTTGGTTATCTTTTATCTAAATCTACCTTTTGAATCTATCAATTCTGGTATCAGAGCACCGATCCGAGTATGCCTCCAAAGGATCAACATAAAGTGGAGCACATGGAAGAAATGGTCAACAATCGTATTAACCGAGTCGAGCAGTCGATGGGGGAGATGAGGAACCGGTTTGATACGTCGATGGGAGAGATGAAGGGCGATATCTCTCAGATCCAACGCGACATCAACAAGCTTCAAGCAATGGGCCTGATGGTGGAAAAACTCTGTGCGATGATGGAACGTTCCGCGGGACTGGAGAACCCACCGGATCCGCAGGCGCAGTCTGGAGATCAGTCCTCTTGCAGTCAACTATTGCGGGCTGACAAGGGTAAGGCTCCGGTTGTGTGTCTGGAACCACCGACGCCAGAACCCTCCTTGTGTCCGGGTGGCTTCCTTCCCGAACAACTGGTTGACGACAACCGAGCTCCGCTTTTGACAGGTAATGAACTCACCTTGAAAAAGTTGGAAATGCCTGTTTTTGAAGGGGTGAATGCTGCTGGTTGGATCGTAAGAGCTAAGCGCTACTTCAAGTTTGGGGCTATCCGCGATCAGGACAGGTTACCCTTGGCCATGTTAAGTATCGATGGGGAGGCTTTGAACTGGTTCGATTGGGAAAACGAGCGAACTCCGTTCACAAATTGGGTGGACTTCAAATCTCGTCTGATGGAACGTTTTGCGGATATCTACACGGGCAAAGTGGATGCGCGCCTTTTGTCGCTAAGACAGACCGGAACGGTGTTGGAATATTTGAGAGATTTTGAGGAGCTGCTTCCTCAGATACCCAAAACGCCAGAATCAATGTTGGAAGCATCATTTATTCTGGGATTACGCACTGAGGTGAGGGTGTTGTTGGAAGCCCTGGACCCTCAGGGTCTCAAACAGACGATGAAGACGGCTTTACGCCTCGATGCGAGCCCTATGTGCGTAACGGCAGCTAAGTCGGGTGACACACGCCAGGGGAGGGTGTCGCCAGCTCCGACATCTGCTCCTTTTTGCACCGTCTCGTTGCCTGCTCCTGGGCCTGCGCGTTTCAGCCTAACTCGCCGCTCAGACCAGGGCTTTAATACATCTTCTGGGCCTCCTAATTCTGGGCCCAATAACTAGGTGGCAGCGACTCGCCTTCCGTTTAGGAGATTCACGGATGTTGACCTAGATGACAAGAGCCGAAAGGGGATCTGTTTGTTGGTTGTAATGCTCTAGGATGATCCATGATATGTCATTTTACTTTGTATTGATTCAATGATTTATGAATGCATTATTTATCCGTTATACGATTAGCATGTTTGTTATACTTCGGCATCTTTGAATCATTAGAGAATGATTCTAAACTCCCTAGTCAGTCATCATTGTGGGAACAATGTTGAATCAAGACTAGCATGAGGTGTGATCAACGCATTGGATGTAGATCACAATCATGGGTACTCGCTATGAACGAGTGACTGGATGACCCGCATGAGATTGTCACATGGATAGAGTCATGACTTGAATCTCATACAGCGGTTCGTTTATGGATCCTCATACCTGAGATTTCTAGAGTATCTGATATGAGGAGTAGCGTGTCTTGACTGCGTCAAACGTCGTCTTTAACCGGATGATTATAACGGCGTTGATCAGATACGTTCACGAATCATATGGAGATAGTAGACATGCAATATGGGACTTGTCACCTCCTTAACAGGAGAGATATCGCTGGGCCCTCTCGTGGAAGTCGGACTATGAAAACGCGTGGCCACGCTATAGATGAAGTTGCATCTATTTTACTAGTCGATTTACCAAGACGAGAAAGCGGTTGAACTTGAAGGGTGGCTCAAACCATGCCCTTGTTCAACTTATGATATCGTGAGACAAAGGATCAGAATTCGAGCTGTTAATGCCTTGGTTAGATCACCTCTAACTCAATTCAAAATGGGTGGTCATGGCGTCTTGTTAGAGGCTAACTAAGTGGGTGGTCATGGCTCTTGCTAGAGGCTAACCATGACTTGTGGTTCGGAAAAGGTTCCAAAAGTCACTACCACTTAGAATGGGCCAGGGTCACACACCAATAGGGATGGACTTATACGTGAAGAATACGAAGAATGGAAACGAGATTTGACCGAAACGAGCATGAAAAGAAGTTTTCAGTGCGTTGGTCCGGAGCTGACCAAGTTTGGTCAGCCCCGGACCAAGTCGGTCAGCCCAGGAGGTCTGGAAGTCAGTTAGGAGGTCATCTGTCCAAGTCTGGTCCGGCTGACCAAGAGTTGGTCAGCCGCGGACCAGACAGTGGGTCAGACGGACCGAGACAGAAGCCAGGCGGACCGAAAGACCAAGAAGGGTCTTGGTCCGGAGCTGACCACGCATGGTCCGCCGGACTAAGCCTTCAGGTCAGCCGGTCCGCGAGCGTCGGACTAAGCCTGGTCCGCCGGACCAAGCTCCTGGTTCGGCGGACCGGGATCTGGAAAACTTTCCAAAATTCGATTTTAGGGTTTTCTAATCTTATTTAAGTTTGGGATTTCGTCCAAACTTAATTAAGGCCGACCTAAAACTCAGAGAAATATCCTAGAACCCTAGAGAACCTGTTCTCTTCGATTTCTATTGTCCCGGGATTGGATCTCGTCTCTTGAGTTACCCTTTTCTTCACTAATCCTAGCAGATTCATTCCAAATCGTTTGAAATCCTTCCCATCGGTGTGGATACGTGTAGAAGGACTGTAACTTCAGTCCTAGGTGATTTAGAACAGGCCCCGGATCGAAATAAACTTCAAGTCTCATCGAGAACGAGGTAAGTAACGATTCCCTCGGTGATATACACGATCTTTCGGGTTTTGCGAGTTTGGTTGCGTGTGACGTTTGACTAGGTTTAGATCTTTCTTCCGCTGCATGAAACCTAGTAAACCAAACCCTAGATCGATATGATCGCATGCTAGGAACCCGTAGATAACCCCAACAGTGGTATCAGAGCCTGGTTCTCTGTATATCGCAGTGATTGTTGTATGATTGCATGATTTAATCGTTAAATTGCATGTAATCATTGAATCTAAGCATGTTTAATGATATTTGTGATTGTTGAATGATGCATGGATGGTATGGAGTCTGGGACGGGTTAACGGTGCGTCGAAACCGGGACAAAACCCTGATTTTCGAAGCCCGAAAAATCT